CAGTGGTCACCTTTGCATTCAGGGCATGGCCCATGGGGCCTCTGAGGGCAGTTCTTCTTGAGGTGGCCTGGCTTTTAACAGTGGTAGCAGATGAATACAGTCATCAAGTTCTTCTTGGGGCCCCGGGAATCAGACTTGGCATCTGTTTCTCTTAGTACTGCTGCAAAAGCAGCTGCTTTTTCTCAGTCTGTTTTCTCTCCTTGGCCACCTCCTTGTCATGGCTATAGAATACTGAGGAGGCAGTTCTTATTAACATCTCAAGTGAGCCATCTGGGGTGAAAGCCATTTTTTGTAGCATTTTCTCTCCAGCCTCCCAGCGCATTGGGACCCCGCAACCACTTAGTGTCCTTTCCCCAGCCATCAGCACAGGCAGCAGGAATCTTGGTGCAGACCTCTCTGGAGCGCCACACGCTCCTGCACCGCGGCCTGTACTGTCAGGGGCAGAATGGCTTCCAGGGGCTCTCCCCAGGTATTGCACAAGGTCCTCCTGGTTTCCAGCTTCCGCATGGCTGTCCTGACCCCGGTCAACTAGACACAATGCTTTTTATTTATTTTGAGACAAGGGCTCACTAAGTTGAACCTGTGGGCTAGAAAGTAGGTACAGTATTTCCCAGATCTCTAGAACTGCGATTTTAGGTAGGCAGAGTGATTTTTTTTTTCACTTGAGACGGTCTCACTATGTAGCCCCCGCTGGCCTTGAATTCGCAGCAATCCCCCTGCCTTAGCCTCGCAAGTGTTAGGATTACAGGCATGCACCACCACGCTGGGCAGGCATAGTGATTTGAATGTTGGATGATCTTTTGGAGGCTTTACTTTTTGTCATAATTACTTGGGGAAAATTACAGCTAGTTTGGTTGATTTATTCCTTTGCTCCAGAAAATGTCTTCTGCCTGAGTTTACAGGGACCCCAAAACCAAGGGAAGTGTATAACGTGGAAAGTATAATATGCCGTCTTAAATGACTTAATTCAAAACTTCTATAAAAGAAAGGTGAGTACAATGAAACATGGATTAACATCCCTGGCACTGAGCGAGCAGCACTGCTCAGGCCAGCTCCTTACCCAGGTGGATGGGGTTTCCCCTCTTCCCGTGGCAGGCTCAGGAGAGGGGCTGGGAGGCTGCGTCTGGCGTCACAGCTGTGGCTTCTGATTAGGATCAAGTGGGGCTGGAGGCTGCAGGTCCCCTTCCTGGACTCCGCGAAGGTGGTTCTGCTCTCTGCTGGGAGCCTGGAGACGCAGACAGCGCCTCACTGACACTTCTGCTGCCCACAGACGGCCCGCCTGCTGCTAGGTCTCCAGCGCCGGCCTGTGCCTAGGCCGGAAGCAGGCGGAAGCCCTCACAGCCCTCCTCCCAGCAGCCAGCCCCGTGCCTGCTGCCCCCGTGTCCTCCAGACCCTCTGCAGCCCGGGCTGCAGCACCACAGTCGCACTCGCTCCTTAGGATTCCGGGCCACGTGGAGAGGAGAGGGCACCGGGAGACACACTTGTCCGGAACGGGAAGGGGAAGCTGGGCCTGAGGGCCGGGGAGGGGCCTGGACCTTGGCTGACCTGGTCACTGAGGAGAGCAAGGGTGCCCCCGGGCCCTGGGGGGAAGGCGGGGAACAGCGCAGAGCGGGTGTCAGTCGGCAAAGGGACCCAGAGAGCACTGGGGAGAACAGGAGGGTGGCCGCCCCGACCAAGGGCACAGCAGAAAGTCCAGGAAGCTTCCCTTCCCTTCGCTCCTCACCTCCGGGGCGGCCTGGGCTGGAACCCTGAGGACACCCGGGAGGAATTGCAAGGAGGCTGGGGGCG